TCGAGCAGAGATGTCACCTGCTGCCGTTGGAGGAAAGGGAGCCCGGTGGGGATGAGCGCATTTAGCCCAATGCTGGGAACAAAGCACAGTCCGCGCTTCTGCGATTTCGCTCCATTTTGAAATGTGTTGGCGCTTTGGTTGGGCCACTGCGGTGGGCAAGGCCGGGGAAGGAGGGGGCTGCTGTTAATGGAGAAACCTCAGGGGGACGGTCCTTCGTGCAACAATTAGGAAACTCCATCCTGACTCTGTGCGCGCTTTAAGGAGATGGCTTCGCTCCAGGTCCTCGAGGGATGCAGCTTTGGCGCGGATGACGGTGGGGTGCTTGCCTCTGGAAATGTCTGGGCACGGATCCCGGGGCCATCGACGACTCCTCCCCATCCCCAGCAGGCGGGAGCTCTTACATTCCGAGCGACTGCTCTCACCCTCTGGCGCTCACACACCTGTAACTCCAAACCTCCGTCTCAGAATGGTCCGGGTTGGAAGGGATGATGGGGGCTCGGACAGCGACTGCCCAGCTCACCCCTCTGCGCGCTCAGGCTCCAGGCTCAGCAGGACCAATTTGAGTTATATCTGATCCCCCCTGCCCCCTTAACTGACCCATCCTACAGGAGACAGGGAAATGTCTTTCCTACCGCGGTTGATTCTAGGGTGTCATTTTGTGTTTTGCGATGGCTGCTTATATTTACTATATAAGAATTGTTTATTTTCCATCTCCAAATCCTCCCTCTACATAAATAAATAAATGGATAAACAGATAAGTGTGTCCCCCGCCCCCACCCCCGCTAGGCAGGTCTGGAGTGACCCTTGAAGCTCATCCATTCCTTGGCCAAGTTTGCCTCCCTAACAGATATTTATACAGCAATAACCCGGCTTGGCTCTTGGGTTCACCTTTAGACGATTTGGGGAAGGGGCTTGTTGGCTTTGCTGGTTTTTGGATGAGTGACAGTCCATGACTGTTCCTGCTGGAAGGGCGTGGCTTTTAAGTGGTTTCTAATATCAGGCACTGCTCCTCTGAGAGGAACAAAAGAAATGGATACCTGCCCATAAATTGCTAGAAAACTTAGAATTGGTTTGATTGAGGAAAGGTTAGATTTATTCCGGTTGGAAAAAGAGGCCTTTCTATTAAAGGGGCCCTTTGACCCTCATGCCCTTGGAGGTCAGTGCCAGCCTGGAGATGTGATAAGATTGTGGTTTTCCTTCTGCCTTTTTAACATCCGTTGATGTAGTCCATTTGTTGAAAATTTTAAGAAACGTGTTTTATTCCACTTTCCCTCAGCATTTATGTGTGTGGCTTCAGTGGCTCTGTGGCTACATGTACAAACACATGTTATTTTTCCAATTGGACATGTTATAATTTTCCAACTGGACCTTGCCTTCTATTGATGTATTTATTTAGCATCTTCCTTACTCCCTCCTTGAAAAAGACTCACTCAAAAACAAGTAAAAACAACCGTAGGGGCCTAATACAGTGCTAGACATACAAGAGGTATCCGGTCCATACCAAATGGATTTTATCCATGAAGGATAAATGGGGAAACACAGGTTAAGAGAAACAGAAGGTGGGGCTTTATTTATGGTCATGGCAGAAGGAAGGTTTGGGGACAAACTCAGTTCAGTCTATCCCAGCCCTGTGTCCCAGTGACGCTCAGCTGCCTGTGCTCTTGGGCCACCTCCTCCCGCCCCCTCCCCCTCCCCACTGCAGCACTCCCATAGCCTGGTCCCTATGGCCCACCTCCCTCTTATTGGCCAGAGGTGAAGATGAGAGGAAAGGAGAGAGACCACCCTCTACCCTAGGGAAGGAAGACCCTGCCCTGGCACCTTTTGGTACTTGGTGCAGTAGGTCGGTGGGAAGCGGGTGGGAAACCACATTTGACTCTGCTCCTTCCTCCGCCACCACTTTCCTCATCACCGTGTTCAGAGACCCCCAAAGCCCCTTCACACTCCCAGAAACAGCCCCCTGGTCATTCCTAACTTGCCATGCCCAGGAGTTAGGCGCTTCCACTAGTGACAGGGAGCTGGCGTTTGGGGGGCACCTCAGCAGGTGACGGGGAGAGAAGCCTGCAGCCTCACCAGCTGGGCTGCAGCAGAGAGAGGAGCCCTCATGTTCCAGCAGGGACTCTCAGCTGTTTGCCTGTAAAACCATGCTTCTCACCTGGGGGCCACTGAGATGTCTAGAGAGATGTTTTTCTTTTCACAACTTGAGGAGGGTGCTACTGACATCTCGTAGATAGAGGCCAGGGATGCTGCTGAACATCCTACATGGCACAGGACAGTCTCCTACATCAAAATATGACCCAACCCCAGTGTTACCACTGCTGGGGCTGACACTGGCATTGCTACCTTAATTACATTCATTGATTGTCTTCTAGGAGCCCTGTTCTAAGTGCTTGTCTCAGATTATCTCATTTAATCCTCACAACAATTCCCCTATGTAGCAGGTGCTGTTATTATCTCCATGCTGGGGAAACTGAAGCACAGAGAGGGTTAGTAACTTGCTAAAGGTCATAGAGCCAGTGGGTGGTGGAGCTGGGTGCCTGCCACTAGCTCCCTCCCCTCTCAGCCACACGTGGGTTTACTTGGCCATTGTGGACTAGTCTGGGAACCCAAATATGATCTATAACATTGACCCAGTAGATATTGATTCTAAAACCACTGTTTCACAAATGAACTTTTACAAGAGTCTGTAATTGGAGCATGACCCAGAATAAGTTTAGGGAGATGTGGAGTTTAAAGCTCTCAATTTCTTATCTGGCCCTGACACAGAGAGCAAGGCATTTCACTCTACCTTGGTGCTCTGTTTATAAAACAAAGAGCAAATATCTCTTCCCAAGGTCCTTAAACTTCTACTCCCTAATGCAGGGTTTCTGGACTGATCTGCCAGATGAAGGGGCAGCTGGTTTGATTGACCCAGGGAAGGCTGGAAATCAAGACTGGGGGATCAAGATGTAGATTCAGTGTGGCCAAGTCAAGTCTCTGTGGTTTAGGGACATCAGATGCCCAGCTTAGGTTCTGTACCTCGGCAAGGTAAAAGCGTTGGTGCCCACTGATGAGGCCAGCTCTGAGATTGTGGGTGTGGGTTGAGTTGGGTGGGCATAGGCAAGTCCTCATGTAAGAATCCCTTGGCAAAGATAGGCCCGGGAGGCTTTTCTCACTTCCTGGGGCCCAGGCTTTGCAATAAATATTCCATTATACTATGGTGCCTTGGGGCTACCTGAGAATCCTCTGTCTCGCCCCTGTTGCCTTGCCAAAGAGGTTGCTGTCCAAGAATTCCTTTCCTGTCTCCAGATGCCATGCTCCTGCCACCTCTGCCAGGTTCCCTGCCTGCCCAGATGGCTCCCACCTGAGTATGAGGAGGAGTTTGAGGCTGGCCCAGGACAGGTTTTGAGCTTTCTGGGTTCTCCGGTTAGGAAGCTTTCTGTAAGCATGCAGATACAATGGGCATCAGCAAAATACAAACTGGAACAATTTCCAGGTATATTCCCTTAATTTTCTTTGCTTTTTTCATATTTCATCAGGCTCCATGCTGAGCCCAATCAGGGACCTGATAAAAATCCAAACACCATGTCAGCGAGTCCCCAAGAAATGCATTTTGTGCCAAGGCTATTCAAGGAAGTTTTGGGAGCAGCTCAAGGGCAGACACTGTTACCCTTCCCCCAGGTCCCCAGTGCAGGGCAGTGTCCTGCATGTGGAGGCAGTTTGGCCTAATGGTTAAGGAGGCAGGCTCTGATTGGGCCTCCTGGACATAAGTCCCAGCTCCCTGCTCACTGTGGGACCTAAGCCATGTTGTTTAGCTGTTTGGAGAGTTTTTTGTCATCCATAACTTGGAGTATGATGGTGCCTGTCTCACGGGTTGCCATGGGGTTCAAACAAGCTAACCTGGTACTCACCAGGGCCCTACACATAGTAACTGCTCAGTAAATTGCATCATTGGCAGTGTCCTATGGATAAGTGCTTGTGATTGGCTGAATGAGCAGAGGGGTCTAAAGACCCTGGTGATGGAATCAGTTGTACAGATAAATTGTTACACTGAGTAGGGATCAAGTTAGGAAAAGTGGGTAACTGCCCAGCTCCCCTGCAGCCAAACTTTGGGCAGACGTGGACCCTCTGAAAATTGCACACACCCATGTTTTTTTTTTTTTTTTTTTTTTTTTTTTTGAGACAGAGTCTCGCTCTGTCGCCCAGCTGGAGTGCAGTGGCCGGATCTCAGCTCACTGCAAGCTCCGCCTCCCGGGTTTACGCCATTCTCCTGCCTCAGCCTCCTGAGTAGCTGGGACTACAGGCGCCCGCCACCTCGCCCGGCTAGTTTTTTGTATTTTTAGTAGAGACGGGGTTTCACCGTGTTAGCCAGGATGGTCTCGACTTCCTGACCTCGTGATCCGCCCATCTCGGCCTCCCAAAGTGCTGGGATTACAGGCTTGAGCCACCGCGCCCGGCCTCACACACCCATGTTTAAATGTACACACAGAACTCTTGCCACAGGCAAGCGGAGATTTGTCATCTGCTGTCCCTGCTTCATATTCTTCCTGAAATCCACTCCATGCCAGGAATAAACTGCATGCTCTCCACCAGCCCAAACCGACCTGCCCTCCCTCCAGTCATCCCGGGAAGGGTGACCTGGCTTAGTACATTGGGTTCAGAGATCTTTCCAGTTTACTTGTTGAATAAAAAGTGAGGGCTGATTAAGAAAGTAATGGCAGTCAGGGAAGGCGAAGGAGGTGAAGAAGAGATTTTACAAATGAAGTAATTCAACGGAGTGCTGACGTTGGTAAACTGGCGAACAGGTTTCAGGGTGGTCGGTTGAGAGTAGAGTAGAAAAGGGTTAAATAAAGCAAACTTGTGGTGTACTGAATCTTAGGAATTCCATGTATCCAATAAGTATAGTCATTTATGAATTAATAAATTAGGCCTAAGAAGCCTTCTTATCCCTTAAATCAAGACTGAGTAACAATATATCAGTTTTAAAAAGTCATTACATCAGAAAATAATGTAAATGATACACATAGATTTTCAAGATTTTACTTTAACTGAAACTATATAAATGTAAATTCGTTCACCCATCTTTTGACACAGGGCCCAGGTCTTCTCTTGGTGTCTGATCAGCCAGTTGAAATTTCGTGTCTCTCTTGCCTGTGCCATATTAATAATGCACTGTCTGGGTCTTCCGATTTCAGTTTGGATTTTGGATTTATATTGTGGAGTCATCTGAATGCAGAATCCCTCAGGGATTTTACTTTTTTCTTTTTTTGCATGGTCTTTACCATCCTGTTTGATAGTAAATATTACTCACCTTTGTGAAGTCTTTCTAAAATATTCAACTTAATTTTCTTAAAATCATTGAATGATTTGAAGAGCTTATCCTTCCCTCTGCACTTGTATTCCCTCAGCTTGCACTTTATTTATTTATTTATTTATTTATTTATTTATTTATTGAGACAGAGTCTCGCTGTGTCGCCCAGGCTCGAGTGCAGTGGTGCGATCTCGGCTCACTGCAACCTCCACCTCCTGGGTTCAAGCAATTCTGCCTCAGCCTCCCCAGTAGCCGGGACTACAAGTACACACCATAATGCTCGTTTGATTTTTGTATTTTTGTAGAGATGGGGTTATGCCATGTTGTCCAGGCTGGTCCTGAACTTCTGACCCAGGTGATCCACCCACCTCGGCCTCCCAAAGTGCTGGGATTACAGGCGGGAGCCACCATGCCTGGCCAGCTTGCACCTTAGTTAGGGTATGTGATTATTATAGCAAGTCTGGTGTACGTAGAAGATTTTGAATGGGCACAGATGACCTTTAGGAAGTGCTGGGCTATGGTAAGAGGCAGTCCTAACTGCAGATCAGGCTGTGAGGACCCCAGCCTTGCATGTTGACAGACCTTCATGTCTTATTCGTACAGGGTATCAGAAGAACACCTACTGGGGAAACTTTTAAATAAGTAAAAGGTGGGCGTCCTCCCCGCCTGTCTTCCGTCTGTCTGCCAGGACTAGCACAGCACTTTGAAGTCATTCACATGGAATCCCAACTTAAGAGGGCACTACAAAATCCTCTCCATCAGACTGAAAATAAGTTTAAATTCCCTTTCTTATATTAACTCCCCTGAGGAAAGAGTCTTAGATCAATGTCCAATACTAAAAACAGTTTTAAATCAGCGAGTGAGAATTAAATCTGAAACCATTGATAATAACGTTTCATTCATTCCTCTCCTTTGGCCTCATCCACCCTACTGCTAAATCCAGGCATCAAAGAGAAGAGGGACATAATTATCTCTGGTCCCAGCTGCTGGTTTTCCTTCCAGCCTATGGCCCAGTTTTCCGTTTTACTGAGAAGGCTGGTGATGTTGGCTTGGGATCTACATCTGCAGTTGTACCACAAAAAGTCCAGGGATGCACTTGCATCCTTGTATCCGCCTCCCTGGGATAGCAAGGATATTAGAAGACCCCTGGATCCATAATTGCTTGTCACGTTATCTGCAGACGCCACAGAATGCCAAGAACAAAGTGCTGGGAAGGACCAATTCATGGAACCATGGGACGGTGCTCGTCCCCCAGCGTAAAGGACAGCTCCTCCTCCTGAATTGCAGCCAACATTCTAAATCGTGTGTCAACAGAGTTGTCCTGGATCGGATCCAGTCCTCCCATTGATTTGCAGGTCATTTCAGGGGTGCCTGTTCCAGTTGTTCTTAATTGAATGCTGGCAGCAAACTATTGTCTTACCTCATCCCTCTACCATGGCCTATTCCTCAAAAAGAGACTTCTTGGGTAATCACGGCAACATCAGGCAGGCCGGGCGCGGTGGCTCACGCCTGTAATCCCAGCACTTTGGGAGGCGGAGGCGGGTGGATCACAAGGTTAGGAGATTGAGACCATCCTGGTTAACACGGTGAAACCCTGTCTCTACTAAAAATACAAAAAATTAGCCAAGCGTGGTGGCAGGTGCCTGTAGTCTCAGCTACTCAGGAGGCTGAGGCGGGAGAATGGCTTGAACCCGGGAGGCGGAGGTTGCAGTGAGCCGAGATTGTGCCACTGTACTCTATCCTGGGTGACAGAGCAAGATTTCATCTCAAAAAAAAAAAAAAAAAAAAAAAAGATTCTCTTTGGTTTTATATGTATATAAATGAGGCCAGGCTCGGTAGCTCACACTTGTAATCCCAGCATTGTGGGAGGATCGCTTGAAGCCAGGAGTCTGAGACTAGCCTGGGCAACAAAGCAAGACCCTGTCTTTACAAAAGAAAACTAAAAATTAGCTGGGCGTGATGGCATGCTTCTGTAGCCCTGTCTACTTGGGAGGCTGAAGCAGGAGGATCACTTGAGCCCGAAGTTCAAGGTTACAGTGAACTATGATTGTCCCACTGCACTCCAGCCTGGGTAACACAGCAAGGTCCTGTCTCTAAACATTTTTTTAAAATTCTATTTATATTTACATGTATTTAAATGTGAATATTCACTACCTATTTGTTGCATGCCTGGATTTTTTATATTGGGCTTGCTGAAAACCTGAACAGCTTTCTACTTGACAATGCATCAGAATTTAAATCAGCGTGTTAATAAGCCAAGCAAAGGTTATATAGGCAAATAAAACTGTTGTCTGTAACCTCCTGTAACATTGGAGCACAGCAAAAATCATGGTATAGACACATATGAACCTGTCCCTTTCATAGCTGCTCACTGCCAGGAAACATCAGGAATAGCCGTTTGGAAGAGTCACCGGCCCTCCCACCATCCGTTTTCTGTCTTGTCTTTTCCCTATGAGCAGGGGAAATTCCCCACTGGCCCCAATCCCCAGTGCAGCGGCTCAGCCTCTGCCTCTGCCGCCGCTTTCCATGAGGCCAGCTTAGAAACAGAGGATTTTGCAGAACATCCCTAAATCCGCTTGAATAAAGGAGTGATCATTCATAAACTCACCTGAACCTTCTTAAAACCTATTTAATATTTTTCCCGGATAATCCTATCAAGATAACTTGCCTCCTGGGCTTCTCTCCACCAGGTTCAGTTCTTCCTTTAGTGGTGAAGTTCCTCCCTTCTTAGCATCTCAGCTGTGCCTGAGAAAAGGCCAGCGGTAGCTGCACTCTGTTCCCTGTGGAGTGTTAATAAAGACTGAATAAATTGAAATAAATCCCTTTCAATGTCACTAAAGTGCTATAAATAATCATGAACCAATGTTTGATGGCGGATGAGAAATGCAAGAAAAAATTTTTAATCAGTAGGATTCATGTTATAAGTTGACAGTCTGGGCCAGATTAAAAAAATAAAAATAAAAAGACTTTAAGAAAGATCTTATCATTTGTTACCAGCAAGACTGAATTCCAGAAGCGAGCCACACCCTCATTTTGTGGGCCCCTGTTATCACTGGCTGCTTAGGGTTGCCAAGCCCTGAATTCATTTGTCAACTAAGAGGTTTTTGGCCAAGATTAAGGTTTCCCATGCCTCCATATTTCCATCTGAGAAATGGAGATTATGCTGTCTTCCCCCTCAGAATGGATGATAATGTGGTCTCTCTTCTCTTCTCATAGTCATAGAACTGAAATAAAACAACTTAAGAGAATTCCTTTGAGCTTCTCAAAAGTGCTGCAGGACTAGGGGATGCCTCCCGGGAGCCGCAGTCGGGTGCTGATCTGAAGTCTTTGGTGGGCTGACTTTAGCCTGACCTGAAATAGTATAGCTGCTGCCACCTGGCTCCCTTAGTGCCAGACTGTGCAGCTGGTTCCTAGGGGTGAGGGCTGAGCCAGCAAGGTCTGTGCCCAGGAGGGATGCATGGGTGGCCACAGAACAGCCTGCACTGATCTTGTCTGTCCCCTGCTTTAGAAGGAAGGAGACCCAAACCAGGATGCAAGACAGTGGGTGGCGGTGCCTTGAGCATGACCTCAGGTGATTTCCAGCCCCTGCCAGTGCTGACTTCTCTGGGGAAGGGCTGGGACTTCCTTCTGAGCTCAAGTCATGACCCTTACATAGAATTTCCTGGGAGCTTTTCCATTTTTCTGGAGTTTTCAGTTTCTTCCTAACCAGACAGGGACTTGGTACAGAATCTCATATTCTAATTATGCCCAGGAGCAACCTCTCCCCACCACTTACAGCGTTTAGCATGTGACAGGAATTGATTAAGGCATGAGTGATTAAATTAAAGCCAGGCATTGACTTGGATGGTGTAATATTCTGATGACTGTTTGGTGGCAAAGGCACGGGGCAGACTCATTAATTGAACTGCTTGCACCTGGAATTTGAATTGAGCCAGAGCGGGGCTGAAGTCAGTTTGCCTTCACCCTGTGAATGGAGGGTTTCTCCGGAGCGTGGATGGTGGGAGGTATTTCAGGATGTATGCGTAACCCCCACCCTGGCAATGGCACATCTTTTCTCCAGCATGGCCAGGTTTGAGTGCCAGTCCTGGGTGTCCATAGCCTTGCGTTTTAGTAAAATGCTGCCCCCATTACCACCTGGTCTGTCCACTTCGGTCACTGGAATTTGCCGTCTTCCAGTCCCCAGTGTGGCAAGCCATGGAGACTCAAGCTCTTCCCCCTCCACATCCTGGAACAGACCCGCCAGTTTCTTCCAGGCATTGCCTCAGTTTGCCCCTCTCTTTCCAGTCACACTCTCACCAGCGATAACATGATTTTAGGCCTTATCACCTCACCCTCAGATCCTTATGGAAACAATGAGTTGTTCCCTGTTTCAGTTCCAAAATTCATATCCAATCCGTTTTGCGTGCCATTGCCAAATTCTTCCCAGAGCAACCCCGTCACCTGCCCTGGCCCTCTCCACGTGTGGTCCTGCCATGAGCATCACCTGCTAAGCCAAGCTGGCCTCAAGCTGCCTGCCTGGGTCCCCACACCTTGGCTCACCTCCCTGCCCAGTCCCACCTCCCGCTTCCTGCCAGCCTGCCCTGTGGCTCCTTCATAGACGCCGTGCTCTTTCTGCCCCTTGCTCACCCATGGCAGCTTTGCCCCTCTCTCCCTGCCCTACCCCATATGTAAATCGCCCTGACCTTCCTCAGTGTCCATCCTCCCTGAAGCTTTCCCCAGCCTTGACACTCAAGGTCCAGAGGCTGCGCGTTTCCTCTTACCTGTGGCAGAGCCGCGCTCCTCAGTGCTCACAGTTCCCCTCTTGCCCCCGCTTCCTGTGTAGGACTCATCTGCCCACAGGTTGCACGTCTTATGAAGGCAAGGACTGTGTCTTACGTGACTTTCCTTCTCCAGTCACAGAGCTGGGCACATATATAGCTCAAAACCCTCTTGATTAACACAGGTGGATGCTGAGAAATCAAACAGGCGATGTCAAATGAGCTCTCCTTATTTAAATCAAGTCAGTTCTCCACCTCCTAGTTACTCAGTTCCAGTACTGTATATACTTGGAAATAATAAAAACCACATTTCCTTTAAAACATTCTATAATTGTTCCTTTGCCCTACTTCAGACTGACTTAACACACTCCCCATTGGTCCAAATGAGTTTTGCCATACGAAGATGCTGATAATAATAGCAGCAGTGGATTATTCTACTAAAACCATTGCCTCGTTAATCCTCAGTCCCAACGAGGTGGGGATTATTATCCTCATTTTGCAGAGAAGCAAACTGAGGCTCAGAGACTTCACAGCTGGGGAGGGAGCCAGATCATGCTTCTGTCCAGGCCCAAGCTCTCCCCCGCTTGCCTTCCTGCCTCTGCAACCTCAGAGCATCCCCCATCTGGTTCCACTGGCTATGCTAGTTGTGCGGGAACCAAAAGCCCCGTCTCTAGTGCTGAGGACTGGAGAAGCCATGGCCTCCAGGCTCTGTGAATGGGTCACATGTAACCTGAGCCTGGAGAAATTGTTTGAAACTGAAGGCAAGCCTCTAAACCAGGCTGCTGCTTCATGGCGCCGGTGACGGCAGAACCAAATTTAGTGCTGTGGGCAGGTCCACACTTATCAGAAAGAGAAGCTCATTTTTCTTCTGGCTCACATCAAGCACGAAAAATGTTCACACACACACCCCCCACACACACACACTCCGGAGGGGTCCATGTGGCTAGAGGCTGGAAGATGTGGATGAGAGGAGCCTGGCGGGTAAGCCCAGGGAAGATGACATTCAGCTTCCCAGACAGTGTCTACAGGGAGAAATTTAATTAAAAGTGGGGCGGGTTCCCTGAGCAAGGAAACAAAGTCAGCCCTCTACGGTTAAGAAAAAGGGTCACAGTGAGAGGAAAGGTGAAGAGACTGAGTCTGTATTTTCCAGTCTGTTGGGCGACACGCCTGATCCCCCTTCCTCAAAAATCCACTTTACTTTCCCCATGTCTACACCAGTGTGGTTCACACTCTGGGACAAGGAAAAGGGGGAGTGATGGGGAACAGAGAAGGGAGGAGCTCACACAGCTGAGGCTGGGGTTATGCATATCGAATTACTTAGAATTTGCAACCTCACAGGGTACTTTTATGGCATTGAAATACACTTCCCACAGCCACCCTCCCTCTAACTAAAAGCAAGAGTCATTTCTCAGTTCTGGTCTTGCCGCCCACCTTCTCCTCCACATTTTAAAAAATCCACCGGCTGCAAAGTGAAGACACCATATGTGAGATCCCACCCTAGTTTCTGTTTTATCAGGGTTTGGAGCAGGTGGAGCAGGCAGAGGGATCATTTCAGCCTGTACATTGTATTAAGTATTAAGCGTGAGTGCTGAGTCATTCTTCAAGAAAAGTTTTATGAAGCACCCAAAACTGAAGGGTGGAGCCACCTGGAGACAGTAGCCTCAGTCCTGGCCCTGAGCACAGCCTGCATAGGCCCCTCTGGATCCCGGCGGGAGCTGCAGAGTGTGGGCACCTTGGCACACAGCCCTGAGTGCAAAATTAGGAGCTGGGCAGAGGGCATCTCTGTCGCCATTGGGAAGCCCAGGGCACACTGGTCATAGCCGTAGACCACGAGCACCCTACACCCGGGGGACAGATGCGACCAGTGTGCCCTGGGCTGCCCAATGGCAACAGAGAGATTGACACCTGGACCCCGTGTCACAGGGACTCCACTACCAAGACTCCCGAGACTGCCACCTTCCAGTGGGATAAGCCCTGCCTCCTGCTGGGCCCACAATGTACAGAGAACACTTGGGACGACCTGGCTTTCTGGATACACAAATATTGATCCAATCTGGGCTAATTAGAAGGTCAGTCCCAGTAAAAAATCAAAGTCAGCTGGGTGTGAGGCTCACTCCTGTAATCCCAGCACTTTGAAAGGGCAAGGCAGGCAGATCATTTGAAGCCAGAAGTTCAAGACCAGCCTGGGCAACATAGCAAAACCCTGTCTCTACTAAAAATACAAATAATTAGGCTGGGTGTGGTGGCTCATGCCTATAATCCCAACACTTTGGGAGGCCGAGGCAGGTAGACACCTGAGGTCAGGAGTTTGAGACCAGCCTGGCCAACACAGCAAAACCCCGTCTGTACTAAAAACACAAAAATTAGCCAAGCGTGATGGCATGCACCTGTAATCCTGGCTACCGGGGAAGCTGAGACAGGAGAGAATCATTTGAATCCAGGAGGCAGAGTTGCAGTGAGCTGAGATTGGACCATTACACTCCAGCCTGGGTGATACAGCAAGACTCTGTCTCAAAAAAAAAAAAAAAAAAAAAAAAAAAAGCTGGACCTGGTGGTGCACTACCTGTAATCCCAGCTATTTGGAGGCTGAGGCTCAAGAATCACTTGAACCCGGGAGGCAGTGGTTGCAGTGAGCCGAGTCCAGCCTGGGTGACAGAGTGAGTGAGACTCCATTTCAAAAAAATAATAAATCTGAGTCACTTTAATATTCTTATTTGGATGTCAACCTCTAGGTGTTTGAGACAGGGGAGTGACATGGGGGCACGGTGTAACCTCACACTTGGGAAGCCCACATGATGCGATATCAGGGTGCTGGGAGGTCCCCCCACTCCCTAAATTACTAACAAGTGGATAGTACTTTGCAGTTTATATGATCTTATTTGATTCTTGACATGAGCCTGTGAGTGAAAAATTCCTTCCCCTCTTCTACAGATTAGGACATTGAGATTCAGGGAGCTTCAGCGGGATTCAGGAAGTCAAGTGGCACCTGGAGTCCCGCGGCTAATTTGAGGCTGGTAGGAGAGTCGAACCCAGGACTTGTGCTTCTCACGCCTGGGTTTCTGCTTCCTAGTGCATGGTCTTCCCCCTAGCTTTCCCATTCACTGCTTTAGCCTAGGGCTCTTACCCTTTATTAAACTGCCAGTGCCTCCCTGCTTTTCTTGCCCAAAGACAAAAAAGTGTTTTTGTTTCTGTTTTGTTTTTCATAGGGCAGAGACCTGGAATTTCAGCTTGAGAACTTATACCATATGATAAATAAATCATCAACAGATGGCTTTTTCCTTAAAAAAAAAAAAAAAAAAAAAAAAAAAAAAAAAAACTCTAAGATGTATATGCAGGGAGGCATAATTTGTGCCAAAAAGTGCTCACCACACTGTAGTCATGGGGGCAGGAGGCAGCCGCAGGTGAAGGGAGAAATCTCAGAGTCCAAGCAGCCCCCTTCTGGGCTGAACTGGGGAGCTGGGGGCACTGCCAGCCCTGCCAGGTTCTCCTAGGAGGCGGCAGTTCATATGGCCGTGGGAGGAGGCAGAGGGAGCCTCATGTGTACCCACATTTCCAGGGATCCAGAAGACAGAAGGAGGAAAACCACCATCATGTTAAAGCAGACAGTTAGGTAACACATCCTGTAATATAAGTTATTTTTTCCACATCTAAAGGCTAAAAATAGTTGCTAGAATTTAAAGATAATTGGTAAATGAGTTTCTATCCTTCTAGTTTCACATCAAATGGAATCACGCTGCCTTCACATTACTAGTGCCCGTTATTTGTGTTTAATTTCCACAATGTTGTCTAATTCCACTCTTTGGGCTTCCCCAGGGATCCAGACTCCCTCACTCGCCCGTCGCGGGGAAATGCTTTATTTATCTTTGTGTCCTCTGAGCTGGGCATAGCACATGGCACTGAATAAGCACTCAGTAATTGATTCGTGAATGAATAAATGGATGAGTGGGTGAGTTCAATATCGACTACAAAACCCCTAAGGCCACATGCTAGTGAGTGGCTGCGCCTGTAGTCCCAGCTGCTCGGGAATCTGAGGCAGGAGGATCTCTTGAGCCCAGGAGTTTGAAACCAGCCTGGGCGATATAGCGAGAACCTATCTCAAATGACAAAAACAGGGCCAGGTGCAATGGCTTACGCCTGGAATCCCAGCGCTTTAGGAGACCGAGATGGGAGGATCACTTGAGGCCAGGAGTTCAAGACCAGCCTGGGCAACATAGGGAGACCCTGTCACTACAATTTTTTTTTTTTTTTTTAATTAGCTGGGCATGGCGGCGTGCACTTGTAGTTCCAGATACTCGGGAAGCTGAGGCAGGCAGATCACTTGAGCCCAGGAAATTAAGGCTGCAGCGAGCCATGATGGCACCACTGCACTGCAGCCTGGGCGTCAGAATGAGACCTGTTCTCAAAAAACAAACAAACAACAACAAAAAAGTACAGCCTTTCTTAAAGAGACTTGAGAACAGAAAGGGGAACAGATGCATAACTTATATATTTATTTGTTCATCTTTCCACCTTCCTGGAAGGTAGAGGGGAACCGGTCTGCATTTGGAGTTTTGAGTGCTAAAAGTGGGAATCATGCACTGTTTGCCATGATCTGTTCAAAAGTTAAGCCAAATGCCTTAGATTCTCCTGAAAACTGGAATGCCACTGTAAGCTATGAGCCCCACTTCAAAGATAAAAGATCTTGATGAACAGGGTTGGGTCTGTGGACTGGGCCTCTCCCCGCCAAACAAGGAAGGGTGGTGACCAGTTGAAGGCAAATCACTTAAATCCTTACCGTCTCCTAATAGGTGTGGTCCCAGGTAGGGCTGTCAGAATTAGCAAATTAAAACATAGGGCATCTATGTAAATTAGAATTTCAGATAACAACAAATAATTAGCATAGGCTGCATAATGTCCCCCAAAGATATCAGGTCCTAATCTCCAGAACCTGTAAATGTGATCTGATTTGGAAAAGGGGTCTTTGCAGATGTGGTTAAATTAAGGATTTTGAGATGGGGGAATTATCCTGTATTATCTAGGCAGGTCCTAAATGCAGTCACACTCATCCTTGTAAGAGGAAGGAAGAGGGAGATGGAAAACACAGAAGAGAAGACGATGTGGTGATAGAGGCAGAGATTGGAGTGATGTGGCCACAAGCCAAGGACTGCTGGCAGCCACCAGCAGCCAGAAAAGGCCAGGAACCAATTTTCTCT